ACGGACATGTGCGGGAGCACCGCTCGCGGCGAGGCAGGCGTTCCCCAGGGCGCGGTGCGGCGCGGCGCTGACGCCTGCGGAACCCGACGCACCGCGCGACGCGTCGCGGCGGCGGCGGCGGCGGCTGCGTTACCTGAACGCGCGTCGGGGCGAGGACCCTGAGGAGCAGGCGGGCGGCGTGGCGGCGCATGGCGGCGCCTGGTCCGGCACTGGCACTGGCATTGGTACAATCGGCCGCCGCGGCGCCGGCGCCGGCCCCGCGCTATCGACCAAGGAGCCGCCCCGCCGCCGCGACCCGCTCCGCGAGCGCGCCCGACCGCAGTCGAAGGGGACCCGACGGCCGCCCTCGCCCTCCAACTCGCCTTCGTTCTTGTCCTCACCCACGCCCTCCAACATGTGATCGTTCTCGCCCCCGCCTTCGCTCTCGAACTCGTCATCGCCTTCACCTTGGCCCTCGCCTTCACCCTCGCCCTCCTCTTTCCCTTCACCCTCACCCACGCCCTCGACCACTCCTTCGTTCTCACCCTCGCCTTCGACCTCACCATAGTCCCCGCCTTGACTATCGTCTTCCCCCTCGCCCTCGACTTTGCCCTCCTCTCCCCCTTCGCCCTCGTCATCGCTCTCGCCCTCCACTGCCCCCTCGCCCACGCCTTCGTTCTTGTCCTCGCCCACGCCCTCGAACATTTGTTCGTCCTCTCCCCGCCTTCGCTCTCAATTCTCCCTCACCCTCGTCTTCGCACTCCACATTCCTCTGGCCCTCCTCTTTCCCCTCGCTCACGACCGCCCCCGCAACGACGAATGGTGCCCCCTCACTATGGACCGGGAGGGGGACTGCGTGTAAACACTGAAGGGGAGCGACCGACTCGCCCAAATACATCAGAAAGTATCGGCACATCTAATTCCCTATGAAATTTTAACAGTTAAGAAACACGAACCGATTGTAATTCAAGGGAGTGTTGGTCAGCTTCAACCTAACCTAGCTTTCGCCCACGCCAGCCTATAACCACGAAGGTGTGAACCCAGAGAAACTGCGTGAAAACATTGCGAGGCATCGATCTCGCCGAATAGGTGAGCGAGTCTTGGTAGATGATTTCTTCAAAATGTATTATCCTTTTAAATTTATTTGTTGGGAAACGAGAGCGTAGCTGATAGCAATCGATGAGATTCCAACAACCCTGTATCCTTCGTCCACAGTTCTTAATAAGAAACCCCGAGTAATCAACAGACCGGGAACCTCGAGATACGTTCCCGGAGTGGGGGCAACGAATTCCTCGAGACACGTTCAATGGTGATCATTGTGTCAACTGAAATAAAAGTTTAATACTTGTAGTTCAAAACACTGCAAAGTGAAATAAATCGATTATCGAAAACCGACTGTGCTAAAACTATGAAGCGGGTAATAAATTCTTGGGTTTCTAGAATTTCCGAAAAAACTGTTCCATTCACAGATGGAAAGAGTGCCTCGAGCAGAAACATGCATCTTTGTTAAGTTTATAGTTCCAAAACTAATTTCTTTCCTTTTTGTAGTACATAGCGATATTTCCTTATAATGCTATATCTTCTAAGGTGCCATTTTGTATTTTAAGTTACTACAGATTTATTACGGACACGTCTCATCTAATTTTCATCAAAACACCACGGGTATTATATTGCATCAAAGTCGTGCGTCACCACTACGCAACATGCGACGATTGACACCTGTAGTACAATAATACCAGCTCTAGAAGAGGATATTTTTGGTGTTCCTGCATACAAACAGCCACTCGCGAGTTGCGTCAAATAGATATGAGGGTACGTCACATATCGCACGTTTGTGGTTTCGAACTCTCTGGAGTACATAGCCGCCGTCCAGACCAGACTTTCTTGACAATCCAATTAAGTCTCGGCGACGAAGATATGACCGTAAATATTCGCCTCGCACGTCACGCGTCAACCTACCGTACTTGACCTGTTTTCTTCTGAAAAGCAGTTTTCCACAAAACGGAACAACTTGACTGACAGTCGTTATCGGAGAGTTTCGAAACACAGTTCTTGTTTTCCAAAGGCGACTATTATCTGGAAAGGTCAATATCCCGCACGAAAACGCTGGCACATAATCGGATCTCATCGAAAAACGAGATCTACCTGGGAAGCCCTCCATTCTTTGCTGAACGCAGCCTTAGAAACAGTCGTTTCGTTGAAGAGAAATTGATCTACTTATTCAAAGACTATTAGCATCTCTAAAGGATTGATGGGAACTATCACACCATCTACATACTTAATTTTAACTTGCGATTAAGATAGGAAAGCAGAACTAGCTCTGTGAATGATACCAGTCTTCCTGATGGTAATGGTTCCGATCAACTTTAAACGAAGCCCATTTTCGCGTAGCTTGCCTAACGACCTTCCATCAGAACAAAACGCGCCGCATGGCCACAGAGGCACGAACGAGGCAAGAAAAGAGTACACATCCGCCCGCGGCTTCATTTATCCTGCGCCGTTTCGCAACCACGCCCCCTCCCCACCCGCGCATCTCTCACGGCGTCAATGCCAACGCGGTTTACGTGCCGTCCATTGTCTCTCCGCGGGGGCTGCCGCCCATCCGCGGGGCGACATCGCGACGCGGGGCGGGCGGAGGTTTCGAAAGGCGACCTTTCCGGGCGGGCGGGGCAGAGCGGGGCGGA